AATTCAAAATACAAGAAATTTTTAATTACAATTCAAATACTAATAAAATTCAATTATATCTTTATTTTCAATTATAAATATTATAAGTTTTCCTTTTTACCTTTTTTTTCCAACAGTCAATAATAAATTAAATGAAAAAATAATATTTTTTTAATGAAGTACTATAACATAAAAAAGAGTGATCTACCTTGTAGACCAATAAAATTTTAGCTATCATAAAGAGTGAGAAAAATGTAATAAATACCAATCAGATTATACAATAAACCAAGTTAATAAATATAAGGGTAAAATAGAAAAAAAATTTAAAACCTACTAAGTGTCTTATATTTTGAATTAAGATGAATTGGGAAAAAATGTCTTATAATTTGGACCAGAGAGAGTAGATTGTTATGATTGTAAAATAATTATCTTACTTTTTATAACAATATTTTTTTTGTACAATATGTTTAATTATTTTTCTATTACATATTATACAGCAATTAATTTTGTTATGATTTTATAAAAAAAAAACCAGTCACATCTTTACAATATTATTTATCCCCAAAAAAATCTCATTTGTTGTTGAATAAGTTAGACTCACTATAGTGGTCCCAGCTTATTTCTCAAGTTCTAAATGTAATAATTAGTTAACAAATATAAGATATCAATCTTCTTTATTTTTCATATACTTTCTTCCAAACCATCCTTGATGATGCGTGCAATCAACAAGGTAGTTCTAGACATAAATAATTAAAAGGAGGGATATTTTAGGGAAATCAGTGCATATTATTTTTATGATTAATTAGCATAATATTTTAATTCCAAGCCATAATGCATGCTACTCCTCTGTTAAAAAATATGAGGCTTTTTTAATCATTAATTAATTTTATAACTATTCTATATGTAAATTAAAATTTCCTGAGAAATTTTTATCAAAAAATTCCTAAGAAAATTTTTAGAGAGTATATATTCTGTTTGAGTGAACGTATATAATTATAATTATATATATATATATATATATTCAATCAAGAAATAATTTCAACAGCGGTCAACATGTAATTTTCCCAAAATTTTCCTGTAATTACCATTTAGTCTATTCCACCCTTCTTTTACAACGAAATTTTGACGGGGAAAAAAAAAGCTGAAGATTTAGTAACTAGACATATGAGCTATGTGTTGCACGTGATTCATTGAATGGGAAAAAATTGCCTGAATAGCCAAAGCACTTTGTCACTTGTGAGACAAATGGTGAACAAATGAAACTAAATTTGAAATAATGGAATGGAGCAGTTATGCTTTTTTTAACCCTTGTTTTTTTCAACTCAAGAGACACGTTGAAGAAAATTACATTTTCAGTCAAAAACTGCACGGATGAGCTTATTTGCAAAAGCCATACCTCATTTATGAATCTTTGTAGCTGAAGAATGTAAGTGGTTTGCTTACTTTAAATTAAAAAGCAGTCTAAAATTAAATTAAGGATTAAATGACATTTTGAACGTTGAACTATCACTACTATAAAAAAAACAACAAAATAACGATTATTTTTACTTATAAATGAACTGTTATTTAAAGCCTTCCCAAATAAATGACAATTATTGACCTATTATTTATTTATTTATATAAATGATGGTTAAATAACTTGTCATTTAAAATATATTTTTTGTGCCTTTTGTCAGAATAAATGATGGGTAATTATTTACCCATTATTTATAGTCACAATAAATGACAAGTAAATTTTTTCCTATCATTTATTGTTTGGTTAAGGAAGAATTACCATAGAATAAATGATAGTTAAATATTTATCCATCATTTATTGTAGTTATAAATGACGAGCAACTTATTTACCCGTCATCTATTTTATAGTTTTTTTAAAGTATTGAGGTTTGTTTTTTATAGTAGCCTCCCTGTAACAACTACACAATTAATAACCAAACAACAATCCCAACATTTTTATACATGAATATCAATTGAAATTGAATTATAATTAATGCAAAATGAAACAAAAACTAATCTCTTATTTTAATTTATCAAGTAATCAATGTATAGAATTTTTTTAAAGGAAAGTAATTTATCAACTGATATTAAGTAATTAATGAAAATTAGTAAAAATATAAACACTAATTCTACTTCTGCTAACTCCTTTGATTTTTGTCTTTATGCAATGATCACACTAGAAATATATACTGGCACCACTCTTCAATTATCTCATTTATTTGTGCATGCCCAAATTCTTCAATGTAAGGATCCTTATAATACTGCAATATATAAATTAAGATAAAGGTCCAAATTTATCCCGAAACTTTTCCTTTAGAGGCGCCTGGTATCCTAAACTTTTTGTGGGAGCAATGTTGCCTTGGAACTCTCCAAAATGGTGTAATGTTATCCTGTCACCAAAGTTGACCATTTTGTCTAACTAAACTTGCTATATAGCATTTTTTTTTAATTTAAAAATGATAAAAGTGTAAATTTACACTTTAACTTTTCTTCTGGGCGTGCCTAGCATCCTCAACTTTTTTTGGGAGCAATGTTGCCCTAAAACTCTCTAAAACGATATAATGTTACCCTGCTGTCGGAGTTGACCATTTTATTTGACTTTACTTGCCACGTGGTAGCCACGTGGCATTTAAAAAAAAATGTCATCCCCTCTCTCCTTGTATCTCAATTGCACATCACTCTTCCTCCTTCATAGTCAACCATTCTTCTTCTCTTCATTCCTCCCTCCTCCACCATTGGCATTTGCATGACAAGAGCTAAATGAGAAGTCCTATAGCTATCGCTTACTAAGTTGTTACTTCTCCCTACTTGGTGTTGGTCAATTTGAATTGTTAATTTTTTGTTCTTTTTTTTTTTGATATTTTGAGCTGTTCTTGAATTGTTAGGTTCTTGAGTTATGTTCTTTATTTTCCTCCTTTCTACCCCCTGTCTTTAATTTTTTTTATGTTAAAAATTTGGGCTTGATTGTTTTTTACATTGAAAATTTGAGTTTGATTTTTCATCTTAGTGTTCTAAGTTATTTTGCATTTTTAGTGTTGTGAATGAAGAAGAAGCTGATGAAGACGAAGCATTGTTTTTTTCTTTTAGTTTTAAAAAATGCTACATGGCAAGTGAATCAAACAAAATGGTCAACTCTGACAGTAGGGCAACATTGCTTCAAAAAAAAAGTTAAGGATATTAGGCACCACCAAAGGAAAAGTTTTAAGGTAAATTTACACCTTTATCATTTTTTTAATTTTTAAAAAATGCCACGTGGCAAGTGTAATTAGACAAAACAGTCAACAAACAGTCAACTCTAACGGCAGGACAATATTGCAACATTTTGAAAAGTTTTAGGGTAATATTGATCTCACAAAAAGTTTAGGATATCAAGTGTTCCTGGTGAAAAAGTGTAATGACCTTAAATAAAAAAAAAATTCTCAATTTATAGTTTATTTAAATTATTTTTATAGAAATTGAAGAGTGGTGGATAAGTAGAACTTATGCTAATAGCTTATCAGAAGATTCAAAGTTTGAATTCTTTTAAATAATAGATTAATTTTTTTTAGTTTAAAATTATGGGAAAATTTCTAAAGTACCCATGTCTTTTATGTAATTAGATAAAAATATTGTATCCTCTATTGTAATTTTTTCAATTTCCTAATTTTTAGTGCTCAGATTCTTGTTCTTTCCTTCCCTCGTCAAACGCACGCACCGCCTCAATTTTTCCTTCCCCTCCTTCGGCCCTTTTGAAAGTTCCAGAGCCGAGAGAGATCGCTCCCTTCCCCTTCATTATTCCGGTGTCATTCCTGTTGCCGTCGATGGTGTGAGTGTGTGTTAGAACACCTTCCACCATTGTTAAAGGTCCAGCTCCCGAATTCTTCCTATCCCCTGTTTCGCACTGCCAATTACTCACTTTTCTGAGTGGCTTTACAGCTCGTCTGTCCATCGACGGCTATTCTTCCTTGCTGTCGTGATGGGCTTCTGGTAGTGGTGAAGACGCTGGTTTTTCTGTCACCGTTCTCCGCTCTCTCCAGGTTTGTGTTATTGCTCTGCTCCTTCCAGATTTGCGTGGGTGTGTGTGTTCCGTCTTCTTGCTTCACTAAAAATAAAAATTCACAGCTGAGAGAGTTGAAGTCGTTGGATTCTCCTTCTTTATTCGCTGTTCTTTGTTCGCTTTTCTGTTTAGTAGCCGACAGTAATATGTGTGTGTTTGGTTGCCATCCATTCTTTCTCCTCAACTGTCGGCTTCATGTATGTGTTTAACCTTCGTTTTTCCTTCCTCCGCAGCTGAAGTTGGCCGTGTAATTATAAGTGTAGGCGGAACTTCTTCTCTTCTACGGTTGAAAATTCTGCTTTTACCCATCAAAGTTGCTGTCATAATTTTGAGGAATTGAATTATACTTTAATTGTTGTTGTGCAATATTTTTAAGTTGGCAATGGGGTAATGTTAAATGATTAAGTTCATATTAGAAGTTGATTAAATAGTTGGATGATGGTTGGGAGTTGAATTTGGATGCCTTCAAGATGTTTGTGAAAATATTTGAATTAAAAAATTAGGTGTTATTTTGAATAATATTAGATGCTATTTTATGAATGTTGAGTCAAAAATTGATGAAAAAATTAAATGTTGAAAATCATATAATTTGTTTGGATTGAATTTAAATGCCCACTAAATACTTAAAAAATTTCTTAATAAATTATTTTAAAATTATGATTTACTTGTCAGAAAATTGAAGGCATCACTAAAATTAAAGTAAAAAAAAAAAGTTAAGAGAAACAAGTTTTAATATTCTTGAAAAATTCTTAGGCGAGTGGCTAGCGTTTGAAATAAATTTCTAGTAATGTATTTATGAAAATTTCTTTATTTAAATTTTAATATTATTTTCTTATAAATTGTGTCAATATCTTTTTTTTAAATTAAAATTCTTACAATAATTGTTTTATTTATGAGTATATCTTGATTTTACCAATAATTTGTGTTAATGCAATTTGATTATTTAATTTCATGTTTGATATGAAAGTGAAGTGGAGCAATGGGAAATAATCATTGAACAGCGTGATTGAACATGAAAATTTTAAAGTTGCTTTCTTGCCTTATGCATGCTTGATTTTTATTAGGGAAATTGAGTTTAAAATGCTAGTTGCTAACGGCAGTTCCGTTAGCCTTTGATACGCCATGGTAAATCTAGCTAATAGGGTGCTTGTAGGAGGTGCTAACCAACACATATGGATTAGAGGGTTGGTGACTCGTGAGTAGTGTACTCACGCTTGTTTTCGTGGGCCTTGTGCCTGCGCTTGGTTCGTGACTCCTGCCATACTTGTTTTATGGCTTTTAGTCGTGCTTGACTGGTTACTTATCCTTGTGGATTGTGTGTCCATACTTGATTGATTATTTACCTTCGTAGATTGTGTATCTATGCTTGTTATTTGTTCTAATAAAGTCCAACTGAATTGGATTTAAAAATTATTATTTTTATATTAGTTTCTTTAAAGGCATTTTTTTAAATTGCACCATTACTTGAAATTTTACATATATCATGAACAAATAGCATCTTGACATGGAACCATGCTTTTCAAAATAATATGAAAGATAGGCAGAAGATATACAATATCTATGTAATGTAAGAAGAGATTCATTTTGAGAAACTACATCTTTTCCTTTCATATCAAACTTATTGCCAACAAAAGTTAACTCTTCAAGTTATGAACAACGTTCAAGCACTTTGAATGGATTATTCTTCTTAATTTTACATCCTTCTACATCCAATGATCTCAACTTCTCCATTTTCAAAAATTCTATTGGTAATTCAATGATTGAACAATCATCAAACCAAAGAATCTAAAGACTCAACAAGTTTTCCAAGATAGAGATGTCTCCTAACTTCAAATTTTTTAGGATGAGTGTTCGAATATCTTTTAAAGACTGAAGTGAATTTGTTAATGATAGAGCTTGAATTCTTTTGTAAAAACTACAGTATAAAATCAAAACTTTGAGCTTTGTCATCTCTTTCAAGAATGCATTTTTTGAGACTTCTAAATCCTTTGAACCATCTAGAAAGATTAATAAAACCTCTAATTTCTCTCCATCAAATTCAACAGGAAAATCATCATTCTTCCAAAGAAAATATCTCAAGCTCTTTTTTATAGCAATTTTCAAATCCACAATAGATTTAATATCATTATCTCCTATCCACAATGTCACTTCACGAACTAAATCATGCATCTTTACGCATTCTTCCTCACCATTCAACAATAAAGAAGAATAAATGAGTTCCGCTATTGCTGCACACACTTCATTTCTTTTGAAGTGGTATTCATCATTTTCCCCACAAGAGCCCAATCCTATACCAATTTTGATTAAAAGTTGTATTGGAATTTCATAATCTTCTGGGAACAAAGATGATATCATAAGGAGTTCTTTGGCCTTTTCATGTTTCAAGTTATCATAGCTTAACTTCAAACATTTATAGGCCTCTTCCAAATTTTGATCAACACCATGATCTTCCAATGTTTTCAAAGCATCCTTCCAAACTGATGTAGGCTGATTTTTTAATGCTCTTGCTATTGCTACAATTGCAACCGGTACTCCTCCACAATGCTTCACAATTTTTTCTGGCATACCCTTCAAACCACGAGTGGATTTATTAATACTAGCATGTGCTTTAAAAAGACCTAGTGCCTCTTCATCGTTCAACGTCTGTAGTTCAATCGTTTGGCATCTCAATTCTGTACAAACTCTCAAATTACGTGTGGTTATCAAAATATTACAGCTCTTATGTTGATGGTCAGATGGAATCCCCAAGTTTTTTGTCAAATCAAACTCTTCCCACACATCTAGTATTATTAGTAGCTTTTCTTCCATATGAGTGATTCTAGCACATATTGTATGTGAGAGTTCTTCTTCATTCACTTTCTCTAAATCCACATCTAAAGCTTTTGCAAGTTCACCTAGAATTTTTTTGAAATCAAGAGGCTTGGACACAACAAGAAAGATGACTTTGTCAATTAATTCAGAGTCTTTCAGTTTACAAGCCACTTCTTTTGCCATTGAAGTCTTGCCTGCTCCGCCCATCCCGTGCAATCCAATCCTATTGCAATTATTATCTTGTAATGCCTTCATTAGATCTTGGAACTTTGACTCTACTCGCAAAATGAATGAAATCTTTTGAAGAAAGGTATTTTATGTTTGATATATTTACCCGACCAGCTACTATATTGGAGTTACATCTTTCCAATAATTTTTCAATCTGTTTAGTCTTCTCTCCTAACTCCTTACCTCTTCGATATTGCCACCAACAATTGGGGCACCAGCCAAAAAAGAATTTCTTCTTTATTGTAGCGTCTGTAATAATAATACCATTTGCTTCACGTGCCCATTGTTGGGCTTCAAACTTGAAACTAAAAACACCTTTGCCTCTTTGAAACTTTTTCTTCACATCTTGGTGTTTTGCGTATAGGATTTCCTTTTTATGATTAAAATTTTCAACATGATTGTTGAAACAACATGAATATTGAGCTTCATTTTTCACTAGATCCACCAAACTTTGGACTTCATTCTTTGCAAGGTCAAGCAGGAAGCCTTCCATCTAACATGGATAAAAGCTAATTTTAGTAGGTCTACGATGGCTATCATATTGTTAGGATTTTAGTTGTTAATATATAGGTTAGTGTCATTGCTTTACTATATGTTAGAATAAAGAAAGTGCGGAGGACCCAAAACCTCTCGTTGGAAGAAGGATACATCACAACATAATATATTTATACATACAATTAACTTTTTGAACAATCCACTCTTTATCCCTCTTTGAATATCTTAGACACATGCACTCACTCCCAATTTATACTAATGTCTTGACATTCTTAACTATTTGATGAAACACATATTTCCATATACATAAACCACACACTTCTAAACCTCAAATTATTCTAATTAAGTAGAAGAACCAAGCAGGCATGCATACATTTCACACAGCACACAGAGCACTAAAAGTCATGTAATTCTAAAAGACGCTTTCCTTAAATGTACTTTTCCTAACATTATTTTTCATTAATACATATATACGCAATAAATGATGGGAATTTTAAAGTTATATTCTCTAATAGTGTCAGCTACTTTTCCTGATATTAGATTATACCATCCACCATATATTCACTATCACTCACCTCAAGATCATTTAGAATAATCTTGAATCCTTCCGCTACTCTAGCCTATAATTCTCTGATTGTTCATCCCTTGATTTGCCAACTCAAACCTTTCATAAGATTTTCTCTCTCCTTGAAAAATGTTTGGACCAAGTCCAAGAGGGCTTTATGTCCAAGAACAGGGTGTGTATATGTATATGTATATACTTTCCTAATTTTAAAGATTTTACTATGGATAATTAGTAAAAAAAGAAGAAGTGATTTTTACATCTATCAAACATATTTTGTTTCATTGTTGATGAGATACAAACAATTATCAAAAAATCAAAGTAATTCATTTATAATAAACACAGAATTTTCCCTTCTCAAATAGTTCTCTTTGCGAGCACCAAAGTCTCTCGTGCCGAGGCTACCAATAGAAACTTACATTATTGACCTAAGAACAAGGTTTCAAAGAATTAAGGCCTATTTGGTTTTTGTTATCATTTTTTGTTTTTAAAAACTATTTTGTAATAAAATTTTTAAAATTATTTTTAAAACAAAATCAAATGAATATTCATTTATACCAATTGAAAAAAAAAATTTAAAATTAAAAAATGGACTGATAATGATGATTATAAGCAATTAATGGTGTGATTAATAATAAAAATTAGTCAAGGTAACTATAATTTTAATAATCAAATATAGTGTATTATTTTTTTATTTTTAAAAATAAAAAATAAAAACAGTTTCGAAAACAACTAAATGAAAAAAATTTATCCAAACAAATTTTTAATGTTTTGTTTTTAAAAATAAAAAAAAGTTTTTAAAAATAAAAAACAAACAAATCCTAAGTATCTCTCAATCTTGAACATATTTGTTTTCATATATTCTCCAACAGGCAATTACATGTCAGTCTCAAACACGCCCTATTGACTCTTTAATGAAACAATTATCTCCACGTCCGTAAATCACACACTTCAGCCCCTTTATTCCTAAGCTAGCCTTCTAATGAAGTCCATGCTCCTCACTGTTCTAGTCTTCTTCCACCCTTGTACCTTTTGTGATTTGTTTTCTTTTTTGTCAAGCTACAGCGTCACTTAATAATTTCTTGAGATCATCTTGATCATGCATTCCACTTCCCCCATTTTCATAAAATTTTCCATTTCAATTATTTATAATTCCAATTTTTTCGACTAGAATGTATATAAGACAGCATAAAAATGTTGAAAGGCACAATTGTAAATACCAAGGCAAAAAAACATTATGCATTGATCCTTACCAAAACTTCAGATGAACACAACAAAGCATGCAGAATCTCGTTGAAACTTTAATATCAAAATAGAAATTAGTGCAGATACAAATAAATATGAAATTTAGATTGATTAATGAAATTATTAGCATTATAAAATATGTTATAAAAAGTGCATCTATGAAAAACTTTAGCTTATAGAGAGAAATTACAGAAATATATATATATATATATATATAGTTAAAGTGACCTTGCATGAGTGACTTCAAGAACCATTAGAATGATAGATTAAATTAACCAAGATTTTCACAGAAAATTTTTCCCCTTTATGGATCCCATGGAACATGCATTTCACTATTTATCATATATATCTTCTACAACATTTTCAATTATTTAGTCTTTATATACATTTAAATTATATATAATACAAGTCACCATCAAAAAGTTAGAACGTTATAATTGAGAATATATTAGAAAATAAAAAAGAATGCATTCTTACCAAATTTTTATAGATTTGAACTGAGATGAAGACTAAAGAGAATAGTAAAAGAAAACACCACCAAATAAACTAAGAATACAGAACCTTCATACTGCATGTAAACTTTAATGTTAAAGAAGAAACTAGTTAAAAAATATCATATATATATATATATATATGAGATTTGGGTTGATTAATTAAATGATCAGCATTATAATGAAATCATGTTGAACAAAACTGTACAAAAACTTTAGCATGGAATAGAAACTTCATAAAAAAAAAATTCAAACAATTTTTTTTAGTCTTTTAAACAATTTTAATTTTTTTACAAAAAAATAACCTGTATATTCTAGCAATAAACAAATTGACAACATATATTAAAGCAAAATGAAGAAAAACATGTGATAATATGTACTGACCTCTTTTTTCCAGATATAAATTGTTAGATGATGCAAACCTCCTTTAATGAATATCAAAGCAATTGAAGAAGAGGAAAATAAAACGAAGATTCCATCAAAAGCAAGTTAAGCACCAAAAATAAATCCTGCCAAATTTAACCAAATTCAAAATATAGACCATGTTTAATTTAGCTCAAAACTCGTAAAATTCAGGCATTTATAACTGCTCCTATTAGAGTTTAAAAAGAAACAATCAGAATATATTCTCAGTTACTTTTAAAAAAAATTGAAGTGTTGAAAAAGACATCCCTTTCTCCCTTTTTTGATCTTTTACAATTCAAACTATAAGAGAGAAATTAATAAAAAAGAGTATCCGCTTTTCTTTATATTAATGTTTAAATTTTTGTTGCTTTTGACTTCATTCAAGTGTTCTTTTCCTTTATTTTCTGAGACTAATGATTTTTTAAGGGAAATTATATTTTTAGGGGGAAAAAAGTAGAAACTTATGGGTTCTAGAAAAACAACATGGTGTATTAATTATGAGAGTAGATTAAAAGTGACCAGCAAAAAAGTGAAAGAGTAAACGAAATATGTAAAAAAGATAAAAGAAATTTTTTGAAGAAACTCAAGTAGAATTGATTCCCATCACCTAAACGCACTGTTTTCATTTGAGAAGGAAGAATTGCGACCGTTCATTGAGGGGCAGATCGTAGCCGTTTGTTGCCAGTTTATTTTTGGGGCCTTTTAGCGTCACTGAACTGATTGACCGTTCATTGAGTGAAAGGGTTGTGGAACTGATTGACCCTCTAAGGGATTGGTGAGCGTGGTGACACAAGTGAGGGAAAAAATCGGAAGCATGAAAATGAAGAAACCTTCACCTAATCAAATTAATCCAGCGTTTGTATAGTAAATTCAAGATTTGAATTAATCCTCATTTTATATCACTATAAAAAAATAATAATAACTTTTAATAGTAACTTTTAGTCACAACTTTAAGTAGGCAGTGATAAATTAAAGTTGTCATAAAGTAATAAATTGTCATTATCAAAAGTCGCCACAAAAAATAAACTTTTTTTAAACTTTTGGTGGCAATCTTGATATATCACCACTAAAAGCTTACTTTTGACAACAACATTTATTGCCACCGAAAATATTTTTATAAAATATAATTTATATAATTTACTTTCCAAAAGTATTTTTGCAAAAAATAATTTAAAAATTAAAAATAATTTATATAATTCAATTTTAGCAGTGACATTTATCGCCATCAAAAGTATTTTTATAAAAAAATAATTTATATAATTCACTTTTATTTTTAAGAAATTAAATATAATTTAAAATTATGTGAAATAATTTGTAAAATTATAACTTAAATTTTTAAAATAATTTTTATGAATTTTCTTAAAAATTTGAAATTAAATAAAATCATTCAAAATATATTTATGAAATTAAATTTCTTATTTTATATATAGAATTAAAAAATAAATGATATAGAGGATCGTGAAACCAAAAAAATAATAGTCAAGATGTGCTAAATTTAATTATTAAATTATTTCTAATTTTGTATTTTTCATAATCTTTTTTTAGACATATATAACTCATTTTTTTAAGAATTATATTATTAAGCTAGTATTTTAATATGATAAATTAAAATTTTGATGGGTTATTGCTTTCAATTATAATTAGGTAAAGTTATATATAAATTATTACTTACATACAAAAATAAATCATAAATCACATTGGGATATTAAAATTGTACAAATGTCATGAGATGTAAATGTATTGTAGACTACTTAGTACATTGTGCACTTGATACTTAACTTGATCCACATATGGTGTCTACTTCTTCTACTAAGCTCTAATGGCTTTTAGACAAGGATTTCATGTAATTCCTCCTAATATATTTAGATTTCCATTGTTATAAAAAAAAAAGAAGTTACTAATAACATTTTCATAACTAATTATTACTAAGACTAATATGAATAACTACTCAATTCACCTTGCTATGAGGTTAAGGATAATTAAATGTTAACTAGATTGATCATATATGAAATTCTTATAATTATTATATATTGTAAAACTTATTAGTATTCATTTTCAAAATTATTCAAAATGACCATTAACAAAATTTAAGTGGTTAAAATTAATTTGTTATTAAAATAATCTTTTAAGATATTGAAAAATTATCAATGAAATATATTTTTAATAAAAGAGGGGGAAACATTTAGCTATTTTGAGATAAGATAAAAATTTAATCATTTAGTTTATCAATTTTTGAGAAAATCATGGAGAAGAAAAAAAGTAAAATATATTTAACATAAAATAATATAATACATATTTATAAGTAAATTATATACTTAATAATTTGCATTTAAAAATAAAATAAAATTTTAAAATTGGTTACAATGTATATAAGAATATTATTTAATATTTAAAAATTGTTTATTTTAAGTTTATTTTCCTAATAAAAATAATATTTACAGGTAAAAAATAATATTTTATTAAAATTATAATTTAAATATTCAAATAAATCATTTTTCATATTAATAATTGAAAATAATATATATATATGTGTGTGTGTGTGTGTGTGTGTGTGTCTTTTTAATAATATATTATTTGATATATGTATATGCAATTACATAACATATATTTGATTTCGCATATGATAATTGTAGATGCATTTCAATTCAATTGGCAAAGAAGGGAGGCTTAAGGCTTGATGGTGGAAAAGGTCAAGAATTCAAATCTTAATTTGTTCATATTTTGCAACAAATATGTGACATGGTGCATGAGGTGACTTGAGGAGGCACATAGGTGGTAGGTGACATGTGTGTGTGGTGGTGATGTGGTGCATGAGATGGCTTGAGGAGGCATACACATGACAAGTGATGTGGCACGAGATGGTGGCATAGTAGATAAGGTGGTTAAAGGAGATGCACATGTGGCATGTGACATGGCATGAATGGTGGGATGATATGGCATCATTTGTCAAACACGTGGCTTATGATGTGGCATAAGATAGCAAGTGATGTGGCATTATCTGTTACATATATGATAGGTGACGTGATATCACGTGATACACACGTGGTAAAGTGATATGGTATAAAATAAGTTATTTCTTAAAAAAAAGTTTTTGCGGCAACAAATGTCATGCCGCCACTAAAAGTCTTTTTAGCGGTGACAGTTATTGCTACCAAAAATATTTTAGCGATTAAAAACCTTTGGTAGTGACAAATAGTATATTTTATTATCGTCGTCAAAAACTATTAGTGACGATACTTTTAGTGACGACAGTTGTTGCTACTAAAAATATTTTTAGTGATTAAAAATCTTTAGCAGTGACAAATAGTATATTTTATTATCGTTGTCAAAACTATAACGATAATTTTTTAACAGCAAAAAATTACTGCTAAAAATTTTTAAGGGTGACTTTTGAATTTTTGGAGGTAATTTTTTATTGCCACCAACAGTCTGTTTGTTTTTTGTGGTGATATTATGTCTTCCCTCTCACTTATAATGAGTTGCATAAGATTTTGAGAAGCTGGACATGACAATGATCTTGTTAACCTTGAAAATGTAAACGGACCACCAGAGAATATACATGCATTCATTTTGGAGCAAAGGAAGTTGGGTCGAAGAAAAATATAACAACAATGGAGAGTCAACCATGAACGATAAAGGAGGCCATGAAGACTCATGGAAACTACCAAAAAAAAAATAAAGAAGATAACTTTTGGCAGTGATTCGAGGGTGACCAAACAAGTTACCGTTAAAAGTAAACTTTTGATGACGACATAACTTTTAATTTTTTAAAAAATAATTTAAAAATTTAAAATAATTTATATAATTATTTTTGATAACAACATTTATTGTCATTAAAAGTATTTTTTAAAAATTAAATATAATTTTAAATTATATGAAACAATTTATAAAATTATTATCAAAAAAATTTCTTATGAATTATTTTAAAAATTTAAATTTAAATAAAATCATTCAAAAGATATTTATGAAATTAAATTTCTTATTTTATAGATAGAATGAGAAATAAGTGATATATAGGATTAAGAAACAAAAGAAATAATAATGAAGATGTTTTAAATTTAGTTATTAAATTATTTTAAATTTTGTATTGTACATAATCTTTTTTTAGACATATATAGCTCATCTTTTTTAAGAATGATCTTATTAAGCTAGTATTTTAATATAATATAATTAAAATCTAAATGGATGATTACTTTCAATTATAATTAGGCTAAGTTATACATAAATACTTACTTACATGTAAATATATAAATGGCATTAAAATGTTAAAGTTGTATAGATGTCGTGAGATACAAATGACATTATAGAGTACTTGACACATTACATACTTGACGCTTGGCCTAGTATACATATGGTGTTTTTACTAGGATATGTCTTGTGATTCTACCTAGTATTTAATTTCTATTGTTATGAAAAAGAAATTATTAATAAGATTTTTATAATAAATTAATATTAAGAAGAATATGAAAAATTATTTAAATCTACCTTGTTGTTGTAAGGTAGAGAATAATTAGAGGTAAGCTAGATCAATCAAATTTGAGATCCTTGTAATTATTTTGCATTGCAAAAGTTATTAGGATTCATTAAAAATTTAAAATTGTTCAAAATGACTATTAAAATTTTTTATTAAAATACTTTTTTAAGATAATTAAAAAATTGTAGATAAAAGATAATTATTTAGATAAAATTTATTTTTAATAAAAAAGGGAAAATTTTAACTTGGAAGAAGATAAAAATTTTAACATTTATTTATTAACTTTTGAGAAAACTGTGGAGAAGATAAAAGTAAAAGATATTTAACATAAGCTAATATAATACACACACATATATAAATACATTTAAACTTAATTATTTTCATTTTAAAAATATCAATAAAATTTAAAAATTGGTTAAAATGTTTATAAAAAAATTATTTAATATTTGAAATTTGTTTCATTTTAAGTTCATTTCCATGTCAAAAATAACATTTGCTGCTAAAAAATATTTTATTAAAAAT